TACATTTGTGGGAGGAAACCTGGTCACATGGCGCAGTAAGAAGCAGAATGTAGTGGCTARATCAAGTGYAGAAGCARARTATYGAGCTATGGCCCACGGGGTTGCTGAACTCTTATGGCTCAGAACTCTTCTTAATGAGCTTAGCATTAAGGCTGAAGGTCCTCTCAGGCTTTATTGTGACAATAAAGCTGCCATCAACATTGCCAACAATCCCGTGCAGCATGACAGGACAAAACATATTGAAATTGATCGACACTTTGTTAGAGAGAGAATTGTCTCGAGAGAACTCTGTGTGCCTTATACTCCATCTGAGATGTATTGACTAAAGGGCTGGCAGCAGCAAAGTTCAAGGACATACTTGGCAAGCTAAACATGATTGATATCCATGCTTAGCTTGAGGGGAAGTGTTGGATTGAAGTCTCTTTATGTATGAGTGTTCAACTAATAAGAGTTCTCATTAGCCTATACTTAAGTTTAAGTTATCCTGTACTAGGCCTGTGTTAATGGGCCTAAGCATGTTCAATGTTTTAAGTTGTCTGGATGTCCCATCGCTAATCAGGGGCATTCCAATAATTCCTTGTATCATTGTACTACATTCTAATATAAATAACAGTATTGTCGACTGAGCTATTCAGTTCGACATTCACAGTATTTCAAAGGTCTTCTTCTCTTCTCTACTACTTCGAATACAGCTCCTAAGCTCACAAAGACTACAACATATGAAACTCTAGCAGCTGAGTTTATGAGACCATAAGAAAGAGATTATGAGGCATGCCCAAAGACCTGACAATTGAGATTCCACCAACACCAAGGTGTATGGTCTCCTTAGTAATGTCATCCTCATATCCCCACAAATAACATCAATCAAGTTTTTGAAAAAAAAATTATATAAATTAGTAAAGCTGAATCCCTATTTGTCACCTGTGAAGAAGGTGATAGTGAAACATGTTTTCATTTTCAGCTGTCATGGTGCCATGTGCACCAACTTTTTGCACTTACCAACAAGAGCATAAACCATGAATTTTAGTTTAGGAGGTTCTCACTCTTCTAGCTTTACACCTATAACAATATTTTTAGATAAATAACATGACTTATTGTATTAGCATCAAACTCTCCTCACTACACAAAATCCTGGACAGCAGGCCAAGTATATAAAGCCACCTTTTACTAGAACCAAACTTAAAGAGAAATTACAATTTCATTTCTGGCCCAGGTGATCCCCATAAAAGACTTTCCCTTACATCCCTCAATTTTTGCTAAGCTAACTACCTATAACAATGAGCATTAGAAAGAAAATAAAAGATATTCAATCCCTTTAATTAATGAAAAGTTAAGAAATATTATATTAATATATAAAAAGATGAAGACATCAAGAGTAGAACTTTTACATCATTCATTCCACCACCATTAAAGATGTCCTCAAACGGGTTGAATCCAGGTCCAAATGGACCACCAGGACCACCTCCATGAGCATGCTCTTCAAATGCATCGGGACCAACCTGAATATTTTATACAAAAGGAATATCATGATAACAATTAGAAAGATAGTTATAGTAAAACAACCAGAAAAATCATAAATACAGACAAAACCTTGATAACAATATAGCAATACCAAATATAAAACTGAGATTTAAAGAACAGCTAGAAGTAGTTGTGCTTGAGCCAAATCAACATATGAAGTTATGAACAGGAAATTAAGAGATGATAGGCATATCCTCATTGCTTTTTATGGAAGAGATGATGCACAAATGAGAAGATATGAACTAACCATTTCCCCCACATTAACACATACTAGCAGTTTTCATATATCATCATCATCTTTTTTTTGATAGATTTCATATATCATCATCATCATAACACATGATAAGCAATGACCTAAGCCTACTCCCAACTATATGGGGTCAGCTTCTAATCCTCTTTCTTTTCTTTTTTTTTTTTAATCAGCAAGAAATTTTATTAAAAAWGTAGCAAAGGTTACAATCAGTTACAAAAGCTTCTAATCCTCTTTCACCATTCTATTCTGTTTAGTTCCATATCCATTCTTAAATTATGAGTGCTTAAATCCTTTCTTACTACAACCTATGTCCTTYTTGATCTGCCCCTAGCCCTTCTAGCCTCTTCAACATGCAAGAGATCACTTCTTTTTATGGGTGCTGTAGATGGTCATCTATGCATGCTTTTTTTATTGGAAACGCTAACTTCATTAAATAACTAAAAATAACTTTCCAGATTTAAATACAACTATCGACCCCTAAGTAGGTGTTGAGCCCCCAGTTATCTTTCTTACAAAACTGCCCAGAACATACTCTCCCTCACAGTCCCTTGTTTAGCCAACAGGTCAGCTAAACCATTAGCTGATCTCCTTGTCCATTTGAAGCATGCACCTATCTCCCTTGTTATATTGTGGATTTCCCTTATGGGCTGTCTATAAATCCAGGCTCTCAACTTACCAAATTGCAGCCACTCAATCAACAATTTAGAGTCACCCACAATCTCAATTTGGTGTAACCCCATCTATGCATGTCACCAAACCATCTCAGTCTTGCTCTCATTTTATCACCTATTGGAGCTACTCTTAGGTTCCTTTGAATGATGTCATTTCTGACCCTATCCTTTCTAGTTTTTCCACTCATCCATCTCAGAATATCATTAACTTAATTCATACATGAGAAAAAACAATGGTATTGAGATACAAGGCTCTTCTATTTATTAAGACATCTTAGCAATGTTGATAATTTAACAAGCCACTTCCCACAAAAAGGATTTATTCATTAAATTATTTGTTTTCTTTTTTTTTTTCTTTTTGAGGGGAAAAAGAAGGTTTCTAAGGCTCAGTTTGGGAAGAGTGCAAATACAAATATGTACAGTACAAAACTTTATACACGGTATTTTTAAACCTTGTATTTGCAGTGTACATATTTTCTCTTATCAGCAATCAAAGGCGTTTCATTTCATTAAGAGAAAAGATATTACAGATTCATAATAGAKTAGATAAAAGTGAACTACAGTTTTTTCCAATTTACAGAGATCATCCCGAGTCTGCCCAGAATAGTTGATCCCTATGTGCCTATTTGCAGTGTACATATCTGTATTTGCACTCTTCCCAAACTGAGCCTAAAGGGATGGGGCCCATATTCCGAAGTCTCCACCAAGGRAGTTGAGAATATCATCTGTAACATGATCAAATAGATTGGCAGGTCCCAAGTACTTGGGATCCCTAAGAACCCTTCTAAAATTAAAACCAGAAAGACAAAAAGGTGATGAAACCAATGGTGGTTGAGAAATAACATCTTTAGCATGGTCAACATGATTGACATGTCCCAAGTATTCATGATCTCTAAGACCCCTTATGAAACTAAAATCAAAACAGAGACACAAAGTGTTGACACCATGGATGACAAGGAAGTTTTTGGTAGGCTAGGAAATAAATCCTAGGAAACATGATACAAAGTATATAATCCTAACAAAGGGCCTCCCAAAATTTTACTCCATCCTCAGGCTGTGGGTCATGTGGCTTGATCACCCACATTTCCTAGAGTGGGTAGAAGAGAAGTGGGGTGAAATACAAGTAGAAGGGTCAGCAGGTTTTAGACTGGTCAAGAGGCTCCAATAGCTGAAAGGGGAAATCAGGGTTGGAGTTCAACAGTTTTAGGGGATAAAGGAAGAAAAAAGAAGGAAATATTAGAAAAAATGGCTCTCTTGGACAGGTTGGAGGAGGAAGGAACTACTTCTCGGGAAGAGGAGATTGAAAGGGAAAGGCTGGGTTATGAATTAAAAAGAATAATTTACAGAGAAAGGGAGAAATGGAGACATAAATCAAGACTGACATGGCTGAAAACAGGTGATAAAAACACTGCCTTCTTTCATGCCTACAATAATGCTAGGAGGAGAAATTTTATCTCTAGAATTCAGGTGGGGGAGGAGATGGTGGAGGATTGGAATGTAATTCAAAGCAAGGTGGTAGATTTTTACAAGAATTTATTTTCTTCAAGAATTTGGAACTGGATGTCTATTGGGGAGATGGCTCCAAGGAAGCTTAGTGATGTCTCAGCAACCTGGCTTGAAAGAGATTTTGATTTGGGAGAAATTAAGGAGGCTTTGAAATGAATAAATGGGCCGGGTCCAGATGGATTTAATTTCTCGTTTATAAAGGCATGTTGGAATATGCTAGAGAATGAGTTTGATCAAATGTTCAAAGAGTTCCATAGGGAAAAGTCTCTGGAGAAAACGGCTAATGCTACATGTATATCATTAATCCCAAAGGAGGGTGGCGCGATAGAGATGAAGGATTTCAAGCCAGTTAGTTTGATCAGCAGCACTTACAAAATATTAGCCAAGGTTCTGTCAAAAAGATTGAGGAAAGTGCTTCATGAGGTGGTGGGGTAATCTCAGATGGCTTTTGTGGAAGGTAGACAGATTTTGGACGGAGTTTTAGTAGCAAGTGGATGTATAGATTCCAGAATAAGGAATGGAAGAGCTGGGTTGGTAATGCAAGATTGACATTGAGAAAGCCTAAGACCATGTGGAGTGGGGATTTCTAGAAGAAATAGTGAAAAATACAAAGGCTGATGGGGTTTAGCAAGAAGTGGAGGAGATGGATGTTTGCATGTATATCTACAGTGTCATATTCCATTCTTATTAATGATATCTCTTCGGAATTCTTCCAAGCTTCAAGGGGCTTAAAGCAAGGAGACCCTCTATCTCCCATGCTCTTTGTCTTGGTTACGGAAGTTCTGAATCTATTACTAGAAAGAAGTGGGCAGTTGGGTCTAATTGAAGGCTTCAAAGTGGGCAGAGATGGAYYATGTATCTCTCATCTGTAATAAGTAATATGTAGATGATACCTTGATTTTTTTGGACGCTTCACTTGAGCAGGTTTTAAATTTGAGGGCAGTTTTGGAAAACTTTGAGCTGTTGACAGGGCTGAAGGTGAACCTATGAAAAAGTGTTTTCATTGGAGTTGGGAGGGTTGAAAGGGAGGTTCTAATGGAATGCACTGACGCCTTTGAATGTAAAATTGGAGAAGTCCCCTTGATATATTTAGGGATGCCAATTGGGGGATCCTCAAAATCAGATGCATTATGGAGGCCAATTATGGAAAGATAAGAGAAGAGGCAGGATGGTTGAAAGGCAAAATACTTATCTTTGGGGGGAAGAATAACATTAAAGAGTGTTCTCTCAGGACGACAGACTTACTACTTATCCTTACATAGGATTCTGTCACAAGTGGCTGAAAGAATTGAAAAAAATCAAAGGGATTTTCTTTGGGAAGGAGTGTGAGGAGGGTAGGGGAAAGAAGTTTCACTTGGTAAGCTGGGGAAAAGTTTGTAGACCAAAGGAGAAGGGTGGTTTGGGTTTTAGGAGAGTAAAGATTTTTAACAAGGCATTAATTGGAAAGTGGCTGTGGAGATTTGGCTTAGGGAGGGAGGAAAACTCATTAAGAAGGAAGAGTGGTGGTGGGTAAGTATGGGAGGGTGAGGTTTGGGTGGGAATCCAGGGAGGTGGGGTCTTCATATGGGATGAGTATATGGAAGGGGATCATGAAATTCAATCAGGATTTCAGGGGTCTAACAAGCTTCTCAGTTGGAAATGGAGCAAGAATCAGGTTTTGGGAGGATGATTGGTGCAGAGCAGGTAAACTGTGTGAGCTTTGTCCAAGTCTGTATAGGTTATCTGAACCTGAAATAACCATAAGCCAATGTTATGAGAGAATGGGGGAACAATTGGTCTGGTGTCCAAAGTTCAGGAGACCTTTGCTGGATAGAGAATTGGAGGAATGCATTACCCTTTTAGAGAGGTTAGAGAAAGTGAAGATCTCAGCTCGATCAAGGGATGAATTCTGGTGGAAAGAATGCTCAAATGGGAAGTTTTCTGTTAAAACTTGTTATATGGCTCTCATCAGAAATATTTCAGATTCAGATCAGGTAGATGTTGTTTGGGGAAATCCGGTTCCCCCAAGGACTGAAGCGTTTGCCTGGCTGGTTGCCATGGATGGTATTCTGACCATAAACCATCTCAAATCCAGGGGCTTCAGCTTGGCTAATATGTGTGTCATTTGCAAAGGACAGGAGGAATCTGTCAGTCATCTTTTTACCTCTTGCAAGATTGCTGAATTCTTGTGGAGGATATTTACTTCTATGTTTGGAGTCTCAAACTTTCAGCCAGGCATTGCTGCAGGAAAGCAAAAATGATTTGGAGCTATATACCGTTTGCAATTTGTTGGAATATATGGAGACAGAAGAGTTTTTGAAGAAAAATAGTGGAATTTGGACAAGATTGTGGCAGCTGTCAGCAACTTGGTTGCAGATTGGATTCTTGCAACTCCAGAATTTAAACATGTCTCTAGGGAAGATTTGGGGGATAATTTGGGAAATATCTTGGGATTCCGTCTCTGTAACCTGGATAGCTATTTTAATCTTTGTGCCTTGGTTGTCCTATAGTTCCAGTTTGTAAGTTATTTTCTTCTCTTTCTGGATCTTGATGGGTCCTTCTACCATTCATGGTGCTATTTCATCTTGACCTTCTGTTTCATTTAGTTGTAGGAGTCGTTATATCTGGATAATGGTTCCTTGTGCTATACTGCTAGTCTGTTTGGGTGGAGTGAAACCAGCGCATATTTGACAGAAAAAGAAATAATTATTACTAAGGAAGAAGAAAAAGAAAAATCCTTCATTCAATCAAATTGTGGATGGATGCTACTGGCTCGCTTTATGGGTTGGGCCCCTTTCCCTCAAAGAGTTGTCTTTTTTTTTTGTGAAAGGACTTTGTATTTAATTGTCTGTCCATTTTGGGTGTTGAGAGTGGGGTACTTCATCATAAAGAAGAGCAGTTTTCGTTTCCTATGTTATTATAATTAATAAAATCTTTTGATTACTCATAGAAAAAAAAAATAATAGGTGTGGTGAAAGAAAACAAACTCTGCACCTTGTCATAAAGGGCTCGCTTCTCTTCATCCTTTAGAACCTACAAGACAGCAAAAGATTAACCTTTTATTACCCTTTTAGAACCAATTATTGAGGGATGCATATGTTTACAAAATATTAAAAAAATATATTTGTTACAAGCTAAAGAAAAGAAGAATACCTCGTAGGCTTTTTGAACTTCCTGAAACTTTATTTCTGCATCTGCATCATCCTTGTTTGTATCCGGATGTAGCTTCTTTGCAAGCTGCACAATGCATGGAAAGAAATCATGGAAGGTATAAACCATCTGGTCGACGACAGCTCAATAATTGAAAAGGCTTACTATAATCAAAGTTCTGAAGGAGAAACCTACCGCATAGTAAGCTTTCTTGATTTCTGATGCACTTGCATTCTTGCTTACTCCAAGTATATCATAGTAATCCCTTGAGGCCATATGCATGGACCCTAACGAACATGCACAGATACATGTTTATTTAAGTTTTTTACCTTAAGGAATCAAAGAAGATTTCCATTAAGTATCCCATACATGTAGCACAGTAGAGAAATAAATAACTATAAAAGACACAGAAGAATAAACCATCAGAAGTGCAAGCAAACAGAAATTTTTGGAAAACCTGTTCCATGAAAGGACCTCCTGGGCCCCAAATTGCAATGTAAAAATAAACCCCATACTGCATCCTTTCGTTTCACTGCGGCATCAAAATGGCCCAAATCAATTGCAAGCCTCAACAAACAAATAGAAGATACCTCCGTTCACAACTATTAACGAGAGAATTCAAGCCTGAGTGTGAAAAGTCAACGTCGGATTACCATTATCCAAATTTTGCAATCCCAAAATCCGAGAAGAACTACAAATTCCGGAAGAAAATCCTCTGCAACCCCCTCCATGAACTGAATTATGGAACTGCTTAGGGGGGAAAAGAAGGAAATGAGAATTACCTCCACTAGAATCCACTTACAAATCAATCAATCAAAAACCCAACAAGGAAAATAGCATAGGAATATAACGGTATTCAATCCAATCAATAATATAATAACGATATCGAAAGAACCGTTGACGACCTCCAAACCCAAAGAACGTCGAGCAAACCAGTATGCCCACCTAGCACAACCAGAGCGCACCATTTCGAACTCGAGATTGAGAGCGAAAGAGCAGAGACGGTGGTCAAATCGGATGGGTAAAACTCCTAAATAACGGAAATACCCCAAGAGTTCGGGGGAAATATGAGCCCCCAGAACCAGCTCCTTTTTTTCTTCTCTGTTCGAATGGTCTAGAAAGCTCCATTTTTCTCTATAGTTTCCCGGAGACGGTTAGTTCCTGGTCTGCCCGTGGGACGGGAGTGCCCGTGGAAACCCTCTGCCGAGGAAATCCTATTGGTCCACGTCACTCTCTCTGTATATAGATTTGAGAAAAAGCACGTGCCCCAAACGCTTCCCTAATCACATCAGTCAGAGAAGGAGCGCCCCACAACGTCCCACATCACATCTCAGTCGTTTATTAGGAATATTTCCGGATGATAGTATAACAAATAATGAAACATCATTGGGAGATGTTCCTAATACAGGACGTTGTAGGGCACCCCTTGTGGGGGCTAATGTGAACTCAGCAGTCCTATTATGACCACGCCACGATTAAGGTTGTGATTGGATTGTACCAAATCGTACATCAAAGTGGATTTCCTGCCCATTACCCTTTACCCTTTACCCACACTATACCTCTAATTAGAGGTGTGAATTTCAAATTGGGATCTGCTAGCGCTTCACACGAATTTCACAACCACATCCYACCTTGTATTGGGAATATCTTAGTATGAATAATAAATGCTCGATGAAGGTTTGAAATGTTTGAATACTTAGAGATTTCGTGCGAATTTCAGATCTATAACACAATAGATGGATTTGGAATTTTACAAAGGTTGAGTTGGGAATGAAAGTTCTGTAGAAATTGGGGAATGCTTATGAGGTTTTTGCTTTTTCTCTCCTCTCTCCAATTCACCCCGTCCTCTCGAAAGCCCCCTTTAGCTCTTCTTGAGCTCGAGTTGAATCATTATTTATAGAAAAATGAAAAAGGAGAGTTTTGAAAGCCCAATCAAAGGGCTTGAGCTTCAAGAGAGTTTTTATAGGAAAAAGGGYAAAGATTTTTCAAAGAAAAAGGTATTCAATCAAGCTTTCCTCTTTAATGAAAGATGTTCTTCAATTTAGGGGTGGATTTCACGGGTTTTGTGCATCCAATGGGAATTTGGGTTGTGCCTATCATAGTAGTTTCATATTTGGGGTTGTCAGTGGCAAAAAATGTAAATTTTATGAAGTTTTAAATGTGGTATTATCTTTTCTCAGTTTTAAGTGGGGATTTCTTTGGCTTTTTGGACTTTTGGGTCTAATAGGCTTAATTTTRTTGGTCCAAGTGTTTGAATAGGTTAAGAATGGGTCTGACATCAGTCATCACCCTTTTGAGGTTTTAGGTTAAGACAAATGATGTAGCAATTTAATCTCATGCATCGAAATGACATTTTCCTAGTTTAATGATCAAACGAGTGAATTAGGACGTGAAATTTGACATGTTGGGGTTTTTTGGGTTTCTAAACATAGTGGTGAGGTCTAATTGGTCTAATATGATCAGGATGATAAAGATCTATTGCTGACAAATTTGAATCAACGAAATTTGTTAAAATAGAATCTTTGTTTGATGAATGGTCAAACGAGGGAATTTTGRGATGAAATTTGGTGGGTAGGCACTTTTGAACATCTTGAATCTGATGAAAGTGATGAATCTTTGACCATAAGTGTAGATTAACAAATTTGGTTTGGGTCTAGGTTTTAGCCAATGGTTWATCAATTAATGAAAAGGCTTGAAATGAATTCTCACTTTCTTAAGGGTATAATGGAGGAGTTTGGTCATGGAATTTTATGTGCCAAGGTTTTTTGAGTTTTCAAACATAGTGGTGTAGTTTTATTAGCCAAATGAAACTGGGGTCATAGATGATAAGCTCTAATTAATGAGATTTGCAAATAGGATCTGACTTTATGGTGGATCAAACTGGGGAATTTTGAGATGAAATTTGATGGGTAAGCACAGATTAAGGTGAAGAGTCGAGTGGATGGTTCTTATATGAGAAAAAAATGGTTAATCTAGGTTTTCTAATTCTAGTTGTATAGGCCTGTCAGAATGGAACCTTGGCCCTTTTGAAATTGATCGTCGTAAACCTGCAATGGGATTCGCTAGTTGATTGTATTTCAATGATATTGAGGTGATGAATGCATTGGATCAGGGCCATTACAAAGGAACTTGGCATGATGAATGGTGGATGCGTGACTAATTTATAGTTTCCTAAGTTTGTAAGTCATATTTGATTAGACGTCAATGTTGATCTTGAGGTTTTCATTTGTCATATAGATTGTGTCAAAAGAGAGATCTTTGGCTTTGTAAAGTCTCAATTTAATATGGTTGTGATTCCAAGTTTTGGAGTCTAAAAGGAGGGTAAGAAGGGGTAGGGTGAAGGGATCGAGAAAAAATTTGGTACTGACATTTGTCCTCTTTGTTAGAGGTAGCAAACTACCAAACAATAAAGAAAAAGAAGTGCATGAAGATTTTTGTGAGGGATAACAGGTTAAAGTAGGAAATTTCGTTGTTGAAATTTCAGTTAAGGTTGAAGTTGATGTAGATGTAGTGCAAAGCCTTTACTTGGAAGGTGTAGTACCATCCTAAGCCCTTGAAGGCAATTGCAGCTGTCAAACAAACACAAGAAGAACATAGTGGTRTCGTCCCAGAAAAARCTAGTAGTTGATGATTAATGTGTCAATTTGAAGGATTTGAAAGAGTCTAGAAATTTGTTATTTGATAAAGCTTGTTAAGTTTTTATGGATTTTGATTTTTGGTTGTTGATGTTGTGAAGTTTGAATTTGTTATTTGATGAAAGCTTATGGGTTTTGATTCTATAAAACTTATTGAGTTTATATGGGTTTTGATTTTTGATAGTTAATATTGAAGTTCAAATTAGTAATTTGATGAAAGCTTATAGATTTTGATTTTTAATATTTGATAAAAATTTATTGAGTTTATATGATTTTGATTTTTGAAAGTTGATGTTGGAGTTCAACTTAGTAATTTTGATGAAAGCTTATATATTTTGAGTTTATATGAATTTTGAATTTATTATTTGTTGAAAGTTTAATGGGTTTTGACATTCACATTAGTTATTCGATTTCAATATTTGATGGAAGTTTACTAAGTTAATATGAATTTTGATTGTTGATGTTTAATGTTGAAAACATATTAGAAAACCATTTTGAAAACTTGATAGAGGTCATGTGATTGCAATAGCGCATGTGTAGACATGTGAATATTTAAACCAAATAAATGGGCTTAATATACATGATAACCCTCTCAAGTTAATATGGGCCTCCATGCGCCCAAGGTCCAGATCTACATAAATATGACTTAGTGACTCAAGGATCCAAGTGTACTGAGTCCAATATGGAWCATTTCCTATTGTAATAGGGTGGTCCCATTGGCAAGACCACTAACTCCTATATAATGGTGCATTTATAGGATTTAATCCTAACCTAACACCCCACTCGCATGAGATTGATTAGCTAAGTGAGTTGAGGTGGCAGTCCTAACCCTTGGCTATAAATAGCCTTTCCTAAGAAGAAATAGGCATATTTTTCTTTTTCAACAATCACATTGCAAAAAGCTCTCGCACACCAACACTTGAAGATTGTAAGCAACCACAAGCTCCTGCAAACTCCGACAACTATAAGATCAAGAGAGAAAAAAGAAGAGAAAAGCTTCTTCATTCTCAACAACACAATTGGATTCAAGCTCTCTCAAGAAGATCAAACCACCACAAAAAGGCCCTTCTCAGAGAAGCATYATTCACAGCTAATCAAGCGCGAAGCCCGTCATGAAGAAATCTGCATAAAATCTCCCAAAGCACCAAAATCAAGGGATCTATATCAACACTTCAAGAAGTACAAGAAACACGACAATAGCTCTTGTCTTCACCAAATTCGACCTTTAATCAGAGGTTGCTCACGCCATCAAGTAGAAATCAAAGAGAGTTCAACTCCCTTGTATTTTTTTATTACAAATTCATTTTTGTAATTTGTCTCCATATTTTGTGTTAATCAAATACACGAAATTTGTGTCAACAAATTTCTGGCATGCCTAGTGGGACCCTCTCTTCCTCTTATCTTTCAAGCCAACAACAGCAATAGTCATTCAATGGCTACCAAGAAGGTTACAACTTCCTTCCACAAGTCCTCTAGCACTTTCGATTCTTCCTACAACCATCCTGCCACATGTGCCATGGCGAAATCCAACAAAGTGCAATTATCGTCTCTAGTGGAGCTCTCAACATGGAAAATCACCAAGGTGACTACTCTGTAGAAGGAAAGCCTCTTCAACGCTTTGCACTATGATTTAAAGGGAAAAAAACACTTTCTCTCAGATAACCAATCCAACACTRCATTGAAGATGGAGTCTTACTCCACTCCATCATGCAACTCCTACTCTATTTCTAGTGGCATCATACCGGTGATGAAGACAGAAGCCGTGACAATGGAAGAATGACTCCAGAAGATGATTGAAGCCATTGATAACCTCAAGAGCTCCAACATTGAGAAAGATCTCCAGATTGCCTTCTTGATGCAACAAACTGGAGATACAAAACCGCCAAACAGAATCCAGTCAAGGACCTTCTTACCCTCCAAGATTCACTCCTCTAATGACTCCTAATCTCCAAGAAAAACTGAAGCAGCAACAAGAAGAACATGATCGTGTCATAGTGCAAAACATGATGCAAGACACCACCCAAGTCCACAGACCTCTCTAGTGTATTCCAAACCATACACTTGCCGCATTAATGAGATGTGCATGCCAGTCGGCTATCGACCTCCTAAGTTCCAACGGTTCGACAAGAAGGGCAATCCGAAGCARCAGATAGCCCACTTCATCGAAACTTGCAACTATGCGGGAACCTATGGTGACCAAATGGTGAAGCAATTTGTTCGCTCCCTCAAGTCTACAGCATTTAATGGGTACACCGACCTCCAACCAGGCTCCATTGATAGTTGGGATTAGCTTGAGAGGGAATTCCTCACTCGCTTCTACTATACACGATGAACTATTGGACTTCCAGAACTCTCCACTACAAGGAAAAGAAAGGAAGAGTTCATCATTGATTACATCGAGCGGTGGAGAAACCCCGCCCTTCAGTGCAAGGAACAAATTAGTTAATCCTCTGCCATAGACACATGCGTCCAAGGGATGCATTGGGGACTACTTTACAA